CTATCTATCTGTCTATCTATCTATCTATCTATCTATCTATCTATCTATCTATCTGTCTATCTATCTATCTATCTATCTATCTATCTATCTATCTATCTATCTATCTATCTATATGTGTATATATACATACATACATACATACATATATATATATATATATATATATATATATATATATATATATATATATATATATATATATATATATATACATACATACATACACATACATATACATATATATAGATAGATAGATAGATAAATGGAAATACGCGATCTCCCCGAGCATTGCAAGGAGGGGCCGAAGAGGCAGAGCGAAAGAGCTTCCATTGCATAAACGTTGCATCATAAACGCTTGCAATAATGAAAGGAAATTGCGCCATCTTCTGAGTGGCTCTTCCCGAGGAATTTGTCTTCAAAGGGAAGTGCATTCTTGAAGGGACAGGCGAAGGGGAAGACGAGAAGAAGAAAGAAGAAGAAGGAGAAGAAGAAGAAGAGAAGGAGAAAAAATGAGGTTGCATTAATGGGGTTTATTCCTCCCTCCCTCCTCCTCCCCTTCCCTCTCCCCCTCCCCTAATAGATGCTTTCTTTGATCGAGGGAAAAATTTTGAGTGTGGGAATGTGTTTAGTTATTTATTTATCATCTTTTGTTATTATTATTGTTCATTAACGTTTTGTTATTATTATTACGTTTATTATTATTATTCGTTTTATCATTATTATATTATTTATTTTCGTTTTATCATTTTTTTATTATTTATTTTCGTTTTATCATTCTTATTATTATTTATTTGCATTTTGTTATTATTATTATTAATTCATTTACGTTTATTGTTTTATATGTTTTATTATTAATGGATTTAGACATAAATCAAGGGAGATTATTTTTTAATTTTGTTTAGCTGCTGATTGATTTATCTATTTAATTATCTATTTATCTAGCTATGTTTATTTATTCATTTAATTATTTGTTTTCTATCTATCTATTCCTTATCAATATTTTTATATGGGGGTCTGGTGTTTAATTTTTTTTTTATTTTTATTTTTTTTATCTATTATCATTTATCGTCGTTTCCTTCCCTTTGTTATTTTTACCCTTTGCTCTCTTTTATTTTATTTTCTTTTTTATTTATTATTTCTTATCTTTTATATTTCCTTCGTCTGTTTTATTTCTTTTGTTCTCTTTTGTTCTATTTATTATTATTTTATTTTTTAATCAATTTTCCCCGATTTCTGTTTTTAGTTTTCTCCCTCTCTCTCTTTTTATCTTTTTTCTTGTTCGCTTGCTCCCTCCTTCCTTCTGCTAGCTTACTGTTTCTCTTTCTACCTCAATTATCCTTCATTTTTTACCTCCCCCTTTACTATGTTATATCTTCCTTCTGTCTCCCTTTCTCAAATTCTTTTAAAAATAATTATTATTGTTGTTTCTAACCTCTTTCCCTCTTCTCCCCTCCTTCCTTATCAGTTTATCGCTTTTCTGTTTCATTCTCTTTTATTCTTCCTTCCCTGTTTCTCTCGTTATTGCTATTCCCTTCTTTATCCTATTCTTCCCTCTCCCATTATCAGCTTATCGTCTCTCTATCAACTTCTCCTATTCCGCTAACCGTCTCTCTCTCTCTATCTTCTTTCTTCCCTACCTCTCCCTCTTCTAGTCCCCTTCTCCTCTATTTTCTCATTCTCCCTTTCTTTCTTTCCTTATTTCTCTTTTCCCTCATCTCCTTCTATCCCTTTCCTCTCTCTGTTTGTCATTTTTCTCCTTCTTACTCCTCACTTTTATCTCACTCTCTCCTCTTATCATTTTTCCTTCTCTTTCATTCACTTCCCCTTCAATCTTTTATCCTTTCCCTTCTCCCCTCCTCCCAAGCTCTTTCCTTTAAGTGTTTATCTCTCTTATTCTTCTTTCTTTATTTTCCCTCTCTCCATCATTTCGTCTATCATATCCCTTATTTTTTTTTTTACTCCTTTCTTTCTCTCTTCCGTCCTTTTCTTTCTTTTTCCTTTCGCTTCTCTTTCTCTCATCAGTGCTCATCACATCCCTTCCCTTCTCTCTCCTCTCTTTCTCTCTCCCACGTCCATATATCCCATCCACTTCTGTCTCTCTCTCTCTCCCTCTCCCTTCTCCCCTCCTTCTCTCTCTCTCTCTCTCTCTCCCTCTCACCCTTCTTCCCCCTCTCTCTCCTCTCTCTTCCTCCCTCCCTCTCTCTCCTCTTCCTCCCTTTCCCTCCCCTCTCTCACTCTCTTCCCCCTCTCCTCTTACCCTTCTTTCTCCTCCCTCTCTCTCTCCTCTCCCCCCCCCCTCTTCCCTCTTATTCCTCTTCCCCTCTCTCTCTTACCACTTCCCCTCCCCCCCTTCATCCCTTCCTCTCTCTTTCTCCCTCTCCTCTTACCCCCCCTCTCTCTCTCCCTCTCACCCTTTCCCCTCTCTCCCCCTCTTACCCTTTCCCCTCTCCTTTTACCCTTCATTCCCCTCTCTCTCTCCTTCCCTTCTTTCCCCTCTCTCTCCCTCCCCTTCTTTCCCCTCGGCCGGTAACATACGACTTTAATCATCCTCCCAAAGAGCTGTTGGCGAAGCGGCCGCTCAAGATGCCGGTTGTCTCCTGGGCGAGAGGAGGTCCTTCGGTAGAGGGGCGGTTCTCCTCGTCTTAAGTCTGTGGGGACGAGGGGGAGGGGGAGAGGGGGGTGGGGGAGAGGGGAAAGGGTAGTTGGAGGGGTAGGGGAGAGGTGAAGGGAAGGGAAGGAAAGGATAGGTTGGAGGGGGGAGGGTGGATGAACGGCGAGGGGGAAGGGGATGGGTTAAGGGTGTAGGGTGAAGGGAGAGGGGGAGAGGGAACGAGTAAGGGAGAGGGAGAGAGGTAAGTTGAGGGGGGAGGGGGGAGGGGAAGGGTGAAGGGGGTCGGGTGAAGGGCAGATGGAGGGGTGGGGGAGAGGGGAAGGGAGTAAGGGAGAGGGAGGGAGGGTAAGTTGAGGGGAGGGTTAAGGGGGCTGGGGAAAGGGTAGATGGAGAGGTAGCGGAGAGGTGAAGGGTAAAAGGGAGAGGGAGACACGGCATGTTAAGGGGGAAGGGGGGTTAAGGGGGTAGGGGAAGGGTAGATGGAGGGGTAGGGAGGGGTAGGGAGGGGGTAAGGGGAAAGGTAAAGCCCCTAATCACACGAGCGATTTTTCCCCTCAATTTCTAGGTTTCCGTCTGAATTCGAAGCGTCTGAATAATTTCCGTCTTGATCTTGTGCTACTGAGGATCTATACAGCTAGGATGTCTTTATTTAATGATAGATTAGATAGAAAGTGTCAATTAAGTTTATAGTAGAGAGTATTTCGATATGTAATATAGATAATCATATTTCTTTAAAATAGCGTGATAAGTAAGACAATACTCGTGTGATTCCCGGGACCTCACTCGTATGGCGCCGCCATGTTTGTTTACCTCGGCATTCGGTCTGCTGCCTTGCTAGCGTGGCCGGACCAGTCCACTTGAGTACGGAAAGTCCACGTGGAAATGCATCTCCGGATACACGGGGGCTGAAAAACCTCGTTAATGGAGCTTGACGTCCACCCTCAGCAGTGGACTTCGCGAGACTGGAGTCAGTTACCGGTCAGCTGTTCCCGCTCGGCCTCTGGCGAAGTCGCGGCGGCGGCGCCACGTCTCGAGCGAGGGACGGTGGGGACGCGTGCCGGAAGTGAGCAAGACCTCTCTCTCTCTGTCTCTGTCCCTATCTCTCTGTCGATTGGTCTCTCTCTGTCTGTCTGTCTCTGTCTCTCTCTCGATTGCTCTCTCTCTCTCGATTGCTCTCCCTCTCTCTGTCTGTCCTATCTCCCTCACCCCTCTCTCTCTCTGTCTCTGTCCCTATCTCTCTCTCTCTCTCTCTCTCTCTCTCCCTCTCTCTTTCTATGTCTCTCTCTCTCTCTCTCTCTGTCTCTATCTCCTCCTCCCTCTCTCTCTGTCTGTCTCTCTCCCCCCTCCTTCTCCCCTCCCCTCCCCCCTCTCCCTCCCTCTCTCCCACCTCCTCTCTCTCTCCTCCTCTCCCACCCTCTCTCTCTCATAGTGAGCAAGGTTTAGATAAGTACTTACATAGACCTCGTTACTGAGCCCATTACAAAGAAGAAGAAGAAGACAAAGACGAGAAGGAGAAGAAGAAGACGAAGACGAAGACGAAGAAGAACAAAAAAAAAAAAAAGGAAAAAAGGCGAATGTGATAGGGCCTCGAGGCGATGAGAAAGGGGGGGGGGGGAGGGGAGGGTAAGGGATAGGGAGAAATTGGGTTAGAGGAAAAGGGAAGGGAAGCGAAGGGTGGGAATAAGGGAAGAAGAAAGAGATGGAAGGAAGGACGAGAGGGAAACGGAGGAGAAGAGAAGGGTAAGGAAGGAGAAGGATGCGTAGGAGGGAGAAGGGAAGAGGGAGGGAGGGAGGGAGAAGAGGGAGAGGGAGAGGGAGAGAGGGAAAGGAGGGAGGAGGGAGGGAGGGAGGGAGGGAGGGAGGGAGGGAGGGAGGGAGGAGGGAGGGAGGAGGGAGGGAGGAAGGAAGTGAGAAACGGTATGGGGGGAGGGAGAGAGGAGAAAAGGAGAAGTAAAACGCGAAAATTTACAACAAATTGAGCGAGATTCAAGATGGCAAGAGCGTGTCCGTTGGCGCGCTCGAGGCCCTTCGTCTAGAGCGTATTCAAATTTCATTCTTGGGCAAGTAGGGAAAAGAGAACAAGAGAAAGAGAATAAACTCAGTAGAGACTATCGAAAAAGCGATAGAAAATGGGAAAAGAGAACAAAGGAGAGAGCGCAGAGGCAAAATAAAAGGTTTCATCGGCGGTCTTGAGTACGAAGCTACCAGTTGGCGGGAGATTCTTCGTCTAAAGCGTATTCAGATTCAATGGCAGCTCATCAGCGTTCGTGGCGCAACCGACCGAGTACATTCTGTAGCCCATTTCTCTCGCTTGTTAGGGAGAGGATGAGGAGGAGGGAGGGAGGAGGATGGGAAGACGAAGAAGAAGAAGAGGAGAGAAGAAGTAGAA